ATCCTTATTGCACAAAAATGGAAAACAAAGGAGCCTATGACAATAGATGAATGGTTATTAAAATCTTTGAATAACATTGAGTTAGATAGGTTGACAAAAATGATAGAGAGAAAATCAAAAAATGTAATAAATACAGATTGGGAAAAATTAAGAAGACACTGTGAAGAATGATGGAAATAAGTTTAGATAATAATGAGAATTTACAATAAAGAAGGAAAAGAAAACACAGGAGTAAAACCTCAAAACAACTGAAAGAATACAATAAGAGGTGGAAAGACTAAAGTCACATAAGAGATGTCAATAACATGGAAACATATGATGTCTTTTTTTGTATACACCTATAGAACCAGATAACTCAGAATGGAAGGTATAGAAATAATAATTCATTACTAAGAAAATAATGGAATGTAATGAAGAAGAAACAAGGTTTTGTTATGTATATGTGGAATTTAATTAATAAAAAAAAATCATCCATCCATCAATCTGGATTCAAAGGTAACAATTGGTGCCTGTACGTATCATATAAAAATGGAAAGTATTCTACAACATGATCTTCCAAAACATCAGAACTGAGATAAGAGTGCTGATTAAAAAGATGGTTTTATATTTATGCAATTTTCCATTAATGTCATTCTAGAAGAAAACAATGAGAAGTTTTAACAATGTTCTTCCTGTGTATGAGAAAGTCTGATTTTTTTTCAAAAAATATTTGCTGTTTGAAACTTGTTTTTCTGTTGGTTTTTTCTATACAAAATATTGTTTTCTATGTGGAAACCATGTTTTCTGTGCAGAAAATGCTAATTTTTGTGCAAAAATCCTAACAAACCTATAAAGTATTTTTGTGCCAAATCAGCTCTGAACTGCAGATTCTTGTCAATTCAAGTTTCTCTTCATCATGGTTTCTCAACACTTATTTTTTTAAAAACTTTCTTTTCCAAATATTTCCAGATGATTGTAATTAAATAGAAAATGTAGGATATTAGCAAACGTGTAACTAAGGGGTCATGCAGATGGGGCAAAAGGAGTGGCCATAGACCACTCAAGCCCAATCCTTGTGGGACCACGGTGACTGGGGGGCACAGTTCCAAGGCCATCCACTGCCATGTTCCTGAATGGGCCGCCAGCAGGACCAGCTTTTTGCTACTTCTTTTGTGGATGGGTTTGGGCTGCCATAGACAGCCTCAACATAGCTTCTGGATAGTTTGGGGGCATGATCATTTGAACGCCATGTCCCCAAATTGCCCAGAAGGAGCTTTATTTGGCCCACCTGTTTTGGTCCTTAGATTGGGGAGTGGGGTTAAATACTTACTATCTTAAGAACCAGCAATTGTATCAAATTATGGGAGTCTTCCCAGCTGGATAACAGTACTGCTGAATAACAGTGATGCAGAAAGCATTTAGCTCCTTTATTGTTGTGTGGATTAGAGGTTTTCTAAAGGCAGTGGACATAACTAGTGTTGTAAAATGACATAATAATTCTTCTAATGCCTGATGAATAGTGGGCAATAAAATTACTGTTCTCCCCAGAAGAAAAGTGTGAGATAATTACAGTGTCTTGTTCCCTCACAAAGGGCAGCCACCACCCATTCCAATCAGAGGCAGGAAATTTCTTTTGAAGTTCATTGTTCCAAATTCTTTTATTGTTTTATGGGATCATTGCTATAAATGCAAGAGTGTTAATTTTCACACTCAACTCACATACAAAGCTATCATGCCAATGAATTTTATTTATTTATTTATTTGCAATGACTGGATTCCCATTTGTCAAAGTTCAAACAGAAAATATCACACAAAGGAGTATGGGGTTTTTTGGGGGGAGGAACATTAAATAGTGCAGGGGAGATGTAAGCCATTTAAAAGCCAAAGTCTTTCTCCTGGAACCTTCCAAGAGAGGCAGCTCACCCTTTCTTGTGGTCACAAAAGTGTAGCCAAGAGAGACTGGAGAAGTTAGGGGCTGCAAAAACAGACTCAGTAGGACACATGTGTCCCCAGGTAGTTTGGCAGTGGGCCACATGGAGCCCACTCCCTGTAGTACCAAAATATTAATATGGGGGAACATGGTGATAAAACAGATGAAAAGGGATGCATAAAACTGCAGCTAGCAGAGGTATCAGCCATTCTTTCTCACACACACTCCTCTTCTTGCTTCCCTCAGTCATCCAGTTGAGCAGCTTTAAAAAGGTAGTAATGCCTAACCTGTCTTCAGTATCTGATTTTCTTTCTCCTCTCCCAGGAGTTCTTTGTGCCCTCTTCAGTATCCCTTCTAACCAAACTA